TCGTCTGCACTTTTTCCAACAACCTCACAGTTCGAACCTTACCCTACAGTTACCCTTTACTGGGAGATACCAATTCCCAGCAGCTACCTGACTTCGCGTCAGAGGCGTCTGCATTATCTACTCTATCCTCAAATCTTCGGCTCCATTGATACATACTAATTAATCGTATCGATGCAATTCTCGAATCCACCCCACTCGCGGGGCTCACACGAAGTACAAAAGGTCGAAGAACAAATTGATAATCTGACTCCCACTATAGTAACTGTTGGCCAAAGGGAATTTACATGCAAGCCAAACATGATACTTTGTATGATTGACGGAAAAATTTGTAATTTCATATTCGATTGCTTGTCAACGCAAAGATGTTATCTATGCGGAGCCCAACCTAGCGAAATGAATAACCCTCATGTACTATCTCAGAAAAATGTGAATCAGAATTTTTTGACTTTTGGTCTTTCACCCCTGCATTCATGGATACGGTTTTTTGAATGTATTCTCCACATCTCATACAGATTAGATATCCAAAAGTGGCAGGTAAGAAGCAAAGAAAACAAAACAAAAATGGAAGAGAAAAAAAAGCAAGTCCAAGAAAAATTTCGTAGCGAGCCCGGCTTACTGGTAGACATGCCCAAGCAACAATCAGGAAATAACTGGGGTAAATGTAGACTTGATAAAGAAATTTCATGTAATTTTAGAAGTTCTAAATTGTGGTTTTCCGATCGATACACACAAATTTAGTAAATATCTTCGATGTACTTCAGAATTGTACCTAAGCCATTATGCTTGGTATTACATGCCTGTAAGTGTTCACAAAATACTATTTCACGGGAAAGAAATCATAGCTGCAAACATTTTACCTATAGGCCAGTTATCAGAGGAGGCCCAAGAGGCTAGAAACAAGGACAATCGAAAATATAGGGAACTGTTTACCAGAAAATCGTCCAGAATTTTTACCAACACTGGCCTTGTTCATCGATTGTTAATTACATCTGACCCCTACGTCACTAGTCTTCGTGCTTGTCCCAAAACTAAACATTCGAAGATATTGCCAGAAGTCTTAGAAATGTTAATGGAGCCTGTTGTGAAATCTGTTCACTCTAACAGCAGCAGCAGCATTCTTTTTTTTTGTTTTGCCTGCGCTTTGCGTACCTTGTTACATGTTTTTATTTTTTGAAACCAAAAAACGTTTGGTTAGTTATTTAAAATTTTCTGAGAGTTGACCTGGCTGCATTAGAAGCCAAGAGAATATATGTTTTTGTACATTTGACGGCAACACTTGCCAAAAATATGTACGTACTAAAAAAAATATTTTTTTCCTAAACAATAAACAACATATAAAACGTTTAAAATCTCTTATTGTTTTTTTGAACGTTTATCTTGATCAAAACAACAATTAGAATCGGCTAAATGTAATTTTATTTTCTTCAGTGAATAAAGTTCCTCTAGATTGCCGAAATCTCACACTGTGCGGTGCGTCCGAGAGTGAACTGAGGGCGAAGGGAGTGTGGGGGGGGACCGAGGGCAAGGGCACGAGTGGTGGGGAGGGGGGAACCGTGGGCAAGGGCACGAGTGGTGGGGGGTCGGTAGTTATTACCTACGGTCGGTAAGGTAGAGGGGACACCACCGGTCGGTAATTATCAGAGATCGGTAAAGAAAAGAAGAAGAAGAACATCAATTGTTCGACGTTTGGTAAGTATTATTATCGTTATCAGAGATCGGTAAAAAAGAAAAACGCAAATGGTACATGTAACGTAATAAGCGCGCACGCCGTAAGGGGTGGGGGGGGGGGGCGTCCTCTTTGCGCACAGGAATGGGGACGTCGTTGCGGGCTTTACGGGTTCCCTCTATCTCGCGCCCGAGTATTTTCTTCTTCGCACTCATGCCCCGTGCAACATATAATATTACATTACAATCTTTGACGCAGCCATCGGTAGGAACTGTGTGTGGAGCTAGCAGAGCGCCTGTGGAGTGTGACGCCGCAGGCGATAGAGTGACTTCATTTTATATCTTAAATTCCTATAACTTTGTTTCAAATATATATATTTTGTAATTATAAAAGAAGAGTGGGCTTCATTCAACCTCGATCCAACAGGAACGTCTCGCGACGATGGCCTCGAGCAGAAAATCCAAAAACGCAAAGTTTGCAAATTACAATCTGGCAGCAAATATTTCATTTGCCCGATACAATTGCTCGAGAACTAGATATTAAAGAAACGGAAGGGGTGACATCATTCGTTGGCGATGATGGCCTCGAGCAGAAGATCCAAAAACGCAAAGTTTGCAAATTACAATCCGACAGCAAATCTTTTATTTGCGCAATAGAATTTCTCAAGGACTAGATATTAAAGAAAAAGTAGAGGTGACATCATTCGTTGGCGATGAGAATATTGGAAAACGTGCGAAGGAAACATTACACCGGATGAGAATATGATATGGGAGGAAATGCGATAGAAAGAAAGACACATATATCCAAGCTATTTTTTTTTATTGGTAACTGTATTCCAACATTACATCTAAACCTAATGCTAACAATTCAGAGTCAATCAATGAATGACGCTCAAAATTTTCATGTTCAACAATTGCCTTTGCATAATCCTTAATTTTAACATTTTGTATTATTTCTATAAACTTGTACTTAGATTCTACCAGGTACAAGTTTTCAGACAGCCAACTGTACATGTGATCGATACAATATTCGAAAGCGAACAACTTTTGTACGGTTTTTTCACTCATGAACATAGAGACGGTAGAATTTGAGAGTTTTGCGAGTTTTACGTCGTTTAGATGTCGGAATTTAACTGTTACATCCTTAATGCTTATCGGCTCGCTCGAGATTCTCGATGTATCAGCAAAAATTTGCAGAATGTTATGCCCCTTTCGTAGGAGATCTTTTCACGTATACTCGAACGACAATGCATGTTTCGCGTGGTCAGTAGTAGCTGCTCTGCATCCAGCCGAAAGGAACGCATGTCGGGCATCGGTATATCCTGATTATTCAACGGTGTTGAATATCCAGGATATCGAATTTCCAATGACATTGAACCAAATTAAAAAGTTTGAACACGCCAACAGCATCTCCATCAACGTCTACACCACTGAAGAAAAGAAGGTTCTACCGATACGGCTCGCCACACGGAAGATGGAGAGACATGTCAATTTGCTGTATTTGGAAGGAGCAAACTGCGTGGGAGATTTCGCGTGGATCAAAAACTTGTCTCGCCTCGTGAGCTAACAATTGAGTAAAAAGAATCATCGAAAATACTTTTGCGATAGGTATGTATATAATAATACTTTTCTTCTTTTTTAAATATATTATGTTTAAACAAAATTTATGTCTTTTTATTGCAGATGTTTGCACTACTTTAGTTCGAGTGAAAAGCTGGAAGCTCACACCGTAGATTGCGAGAGATTAAGGAATGCGCAATCGTATTACCAGATGATATAAGCAAGTGGCTCCGGTTCGACAACTACATCCGGAAAGAGCGACTTCCATTTGTGGTGTACGCCGACCTCGAGTGCATTCTGGAGACAACTGATCGAGAAGCACCAAGATCCACATACCAGCATCATAAAGTATTTAGTATTGCATATTATGTTCAATGCGTGTACGATTCGTCCTTGTCGGTGTACCAATGTCGTCGTGATGCGAATTGTGTTTCCTGGTTCGTCGAAGAATTACAGAATTTGATACATTTTGTTAAATCAATTCTATCAAATAACATACAAATGGATGATTTAACGAGCGAACAGCAGGAGGCATTTCGCAACGCGACGCATTGTCACATTTGCGAAAAACCATTTGCGAAAAATCATTGCCATCTAATCGGTCGGTACAGAAGTCCCGCGCACTCCAATTGTAATCTAAATTATAAAAACTCTTTTTGCATTCCCCTAATTTTTTCATAATTTGTCCGGTTACGATTCGCATTTTATTATCGAAGAAATAGCTACAGCTTTCGAGGGTGCCGTCAGTGTATTGTCGATAACAAAAGAAAAGTACATCTCGTTCACAAAAAGTGTCGAAGATCCAAATGGATCGTCGCGAAATTCTATAAAATTGAGATTCATCGATTCATACAAATTCTTGAGTACCAGTCTCGATAAATTAGCGTCTTTCTTAGATAAAAGCAAATTAAGAATTTTACGAACCGAGTTTCAAAATTTGTCTACCGAAGATTTCGAATTATTGACGCGAAAGGGTATTTTTCCGTACGAGTACATTGACTGTGCCGAAAAGTTGGAGCAATCATGTTTGCCATCGCGCGAATCATTTTACAGTTTCTTGACGGGTGATACAGTATCGGAGAACGAGTACGCGCACGCCGAGAACGTGTGGACACGGTTTTCCATTCAAACGCTGGGCGAGTATAGCGATTTGTATTTGAAAACAGATGTCTTGCTGTTGGCCGATATTTTTGAAAATTTTCGTGAAAGCTGTATCATGTACCATGCTGAAGCATACAAAAGTTAATTTCGAATTACTAACAGATATCGACATGGTCCTGTTTATTGAACGCGGTATACGTGGCGGATTAAATCAATGTTCAAGTAGATACACGAAAGCCAATATTAAGTACATGCAATCGTACGATCCATCGAATGCATCGTCGTACTTGATGTACTTTGATGTGAATAATCTGTATGGGTGGGCAATGTGTTAACCATTGCCATATGCAGAATTTCGATGGGTCGACAACGTCGCAAACTTTGACGTGTCTTCGATTGCTGCCGATTCGCTCACGGGTTATATTCTAGAGGTTGATCTAGAATATCCGCAACGTTTACATGACATTTACGCGGACCTGCCGTTCTGTCTCACACGTGCCCAACCACCTGGCAAAAGAGAGGACAAGTTGCTCGCAACTCTATACGATAAGCAGCGCTACGTTATTCACTATCGTAACCTGCAGCAATGCACGCGACATGGTATTCGTGTTACAAAGATACACCGCGTCCTCCAATTCGCACAATCACCATGGCTCCGCGATTACATCAAATTAAATACAAAGTTTAGAACTCTCGCTACAAACGATTTTGAAAATAATTTGTATAAATTGATAAACAATGCGGTATTTGGCAAAACTATGGAGAATGTACGCAATCACGTCGATGTAAAATTAGTAACAAAATGGGAAGGGAGATATGGTGCGGAGACAATGATCGCAAAACCAAATTTCCACAGCCGTAGCGTATTTTCGGAAAACTTAGTTGCCATCGAACTGCGAAAGCTTACGGTGAAGTTCAACAAACCAATCTATGTGGGTGTGTGTATACTAGATATATCTAAAGTTTGTTTGTATAAATTCCATCACGATTACATGTTACCCACACATAGCGATAAATGTAAACTTATGTACACCGATACGGATAGTTTAATTTACCACATCGAGTGCGAGAATATTTATGATACTATAAAACGCGATATTAATCTATTTGATACCAGCGATTATCCGGTAGGGAACATTTACGATATACCGCTTGTAAACAAAAAAAGTCCCCGGTTTGATGAAGGACGAAGACAATGGGGCCATAATGACAGAATTTGTTGGACTCAGAGCGAAAATGTATGCACTGCGTGTAGATGGTAAAATAGATACGAAAAAGGCGAAAGGTGTAAAAAGTAACGTTGTTTCCAGGATAACTTTTGACGACTACACGCGGTGCCTACGAAACGAAATTGAAATGATTCGTAATCAGACATGTATAAGATCAAAATTACACATAGTATACACAATGGCGGAATCAAAAATCGCTCTGAGTGCGTACGACGATAAGCGGTATATCGTACCCGACTCAACGAATACATTGCCGTGGGGTCATTATAAAATACCGCTTTAGATATATCAGTATATGTATTTTGTAAATCATTTTTACCTCGATTTTAATAGATGTATATATTTAATTGTAAATAAAAAACACTGTAATGTAACTAATGATGCTAGTATATGTATAAAACTGAATATTTAATTTAAAAAAATGTTAATTTTTTACAATACATTATCTTTATTTATCCACGATTTGTGTGCACTATTCAATCCTAACCATTTCACGTACACCTTATTCCCTTTCCGACGTAACACTTTTTCCACAAGGTATACATCAGCGTCGGCAACGCGTTGGAACTCGTGTTCGTAGCATCCTCCAGCAATTGGTTTTCCATAAACATCTTTCATCAGATACGTTGCGGGATTAGTTTTCTGAACCTTGGCGATCGTAAATATTTCAGTACCCCAATTAGATGTGTAACCTTTTTCAAAAATTGTTTTGAATTTGCTTACACGTACCGCATCTCCCACTCTGAATCGTGCGGGAGCGACAATCTTTACGTGATTATATACCGTTGTTAAGAGCTTCGAGGCGTTTATTGGTGTAACGTCAATTGGTCGCATGCCGATAGTTCGATGCTTACGCGCGTTGTAATTTGATACGAGTTGCTGCAGCGAGTCGATCCATTTATAGTTTCCATTAAGCGTAAACGGTTTCCACACGTCGTTTTTAAGCGTACGATTGAACCGCTCGACGACTGACGCTTTCATCACTGAATACGTTGAATAATGATTTATGTTGTATTTTGACAAAAGTTTTTGTACATTTGCGTTGTAAAATTCTTTTCCTTTGTCGGTTTGCAAATTTTTCGGATACCTTCCACTGTTTCGGATTATCTTTCCGATCGCTGTAGAAATTTCATTTCCACTTTTGGTTTTGAGAGGTATATCCCATGCATGCTTACTCAACACATCGATAACAGTGCATATGTAATGGAAGCCTCTGTTATACAGCGCGTAAGGTCGCATCTCGACCACGTCCGCTTGCCATAAGTCGTCGTACCCATGTACTATGACGCGTCTTCGGGGAAAATTTCTTCTCGCCGGAGCATGCAATTCTTCCACGAGACTTTCTTCGCAGCCATGTATGACTCGACACTGTCGCAAAGACTTGACGTACACGTCTTATCAAACATCAAATCGGTGCTCAACGTTGGAAATGCTTGAAAGCAAACGACCGTTTACGACCACCCGCCGGCAGATACTCCAAAGGGATAATATGCGTGACCGTAGTTAATATTAGTTCCTTAATATTCATCCAAGTTTTTATGCTTTTTTTGTAGTATCTTGATGAAAATATATGCAATATATTGGCGAGATTTTTCTGATAAAAATGATATCAAACACGACGCAATTCAGACAATTTTGAGCTTCGCTTATATTAAGTAATAGATTTTGTTACAGCCTATATATATTACACATACTATTCTTCAAGAAATGTTCGTTGACCTTTTTTTTAAGACAGTATGCTTGCCTATTAATATTTTGTAAAATACCATTTTACGTCTCTTGTCAGCTTCACGTCTTAAAAAAGTTAGCTATGTGAACCTGATACCCGACTTCTCATAAATTCATTTGTTTATGGAAAATAATAGCATTTCGTTTGTACTTGATTGAACCATTTATAGTTTCGTTTGTACCTTCATCAATTAATAAATAAAAAAAAAAAATAAAAAAAAATCACCCAGCATTCGACATTGAGATTTTTGTAATCTGTTTTTACGCGATGTACGCGAACCAGTGTTCACGCAGTGTGGACCCGGGATAAGGGCTAGATCGGTGGATCGGGTCGCTTTCGTGTGTATTTTTTTTCTCTTCTTTTTCCCTTTTTTTCCACATATATCATCGTATTATTTCGCGTACATAACAATTTAAAGGAAATATAATGAGAAAATATATTCATTCGCATGATTTTTTATTACAACAAATATTATATTTATAATTGTGGACGAATAAAGGACAAAACGCATTGATTTTCATACATTTTTCTTATTTATAAAACAAAGAATAACAAAAAAATAATAAATAACGAAACATAATTGTATTTTAATTGTCAAATGCATCTTGGGGATTATAAATCGTAGAATGATACTTATCATACAAGTAGGGGAAACATAAAGTGCAACGACATCGGCGACATCTTATGAAAGGCGTTTTTCCGCATCCACACTGCTTGTTTAGAATATTGATTGAAAAACAAACATCATTTACATTTAAAAATATGTCTCTATCGTCGCACAATGAACTTGCGTACCATGCGTAACACAACATATTCTTGAATATTGGTGCAGATAGTTGATTATGAAGTAGAGCATGTATTTTTATGGCATCTTCTACTTGGTTGCTAATGGTTACCAAGTAGTTACATGCGTTTGTTATTTTCTCATGTCTATTTGTATAATTCGTAAAGCGTTGTGCAGGTTTTCTATATATTCACAATCAAATTACAAAATATTCAAAGAGTGCGGGTTACGATGTTGATGCAAGAAGAAGGCTCCATTTACAACGCGTCTGCTAAACGCGAGTTAAAAGATGCACTCGTGCATTGTATTACTCTCCTCGAAAAAAAGAATCTCATAGATATCGAATTGTCTTCCACGATTTCTGAAAATGCAATCGTGATAGGGGAAAAATTATATGAACTCATCGTGGAAATGCTAGGCGAAAATATGATAATTTCTGAGGAGGACCTTATTGACGATGGAGAAGAGAAAGAAGATGAATACGTTGAACCCGCAGAAGATTTATCGCAGGATGATGATTTATATTACGAGCCAGAAGAAAAGAAGCCAGCAGGAGGCGAATTTATTCCTCTGGAAACAAAAATTAAAGTTGTGCAAATGGCAAATCAACACCCTCGATGGAGTTTACATACTTTGCAAGTGAAGGGTTCAAGAAGTTTGAAAAGAAAAGATCAGTTGAAAATGGGAGGAATCCATAAAAAACGGTGGGACAATTTTTGATAAGTACGGTGATATTGATTCCTGGACGAACGATCGTTTCGTAGAACCTCGCAACAATTATCATCAAGTAAGTGCACATTCGTATCAACTTTACTTCTAACTTTTTTCCTTCCACAACCGTATTTGAAAAACAAATTATGTTAATAAAATGAAACTTTAATTTTACTTTTCAGGTGACAATAAAGAATTTGCAGCAATGGGCACTAACTGCTGCAGCCCAATTCCAATCGGAAAGTTTTATTTTTAAATCATCAGCAGCGTGGGTCGACAGATTCAAGCGTAGACACAGAATCCGCCAAAGGAAAATTACAAAATACGTCTCTCATAAAGAATGCGCGACTATGGAAGAGGTACTGCAAGCCGCGAACAAATTTTAAATACAAACAAAGACTTTAACCAAAATGCGACGAGTATCCCCCAAATACCGCGACCCGGCCATCCGCGACATACTCGCGCAAGCGCAATCGCGAACGAAGCGACGCGCGCAGCCACGGCGGCGTTAGCGTCGCCGCGAGAGACGGGTATATTAGGCCGCACGCGGGAAGCTAACAGACAGTCCGTTCGGTGCTCCAACTTGGGAGGTCGCCTGCTAGCCGGGTGCCTCCAGTTAATAGGTGATATCCCGAGTACGACGCAACGAGCTGATTCTCGCTATAGCCCTGGTGCCCCAGGATACAGCGAGCTCCCGACCCAGAAGATCGACTATTGGCGCCCCGTAGTCGAAACGGAGGGTAGTTCCCAGTTTCTCCACGGTAGGCGTTCCGCCGTGAAAGAGACGGGATATCCCGTGCCTCGACCGCGATGACACCGTAGTATCAGGCAGTGGTTGCCGGATACCTGGCGCTTCAGGATTCGCCAACCTCGCCAACCTGCCCTCTTCACGGTAGGCGCACCGCCGCGAAGAGAGCCGGCTGACCCCGTCCGCACACACTTACCCGATCCGCGTGCGAGACATACGACCGACCAGCCACTAGACGCTCCAGTCCCTGGCCGTTCAAACGGCAATTGTACCCCTAGCGATAGGCGCTCCACCGTTAAGAGGACAATCGGTCAATGTAAGTTGGGTTGCACCTGTACCAACACATACCCACCGACACACCGCCGTAAACTTACCTATAGAGTGCTCTGGTTGTTATGTTTCAGGCTAACAATAAGGATCCGATCCCGTAGACCGAATGTCCGGTCACATTGTATATATATATATATAACTGTTTATTACTACTTTTCTCATTCATGAAACCATAATCTTAAGTTTTGTAAACGGCCTGATTCATTCAAACGACCCGTACCCTGACTTTCCATCTCTCGCAAAATCCCTCGGCTACAACAAATTTTCAAAAAAAAATACGTTATCAATACAGATCAAACGGGTTGTCAATATGAAGCAACATATGACTGAACGCTTGCAGCAATAAATTCAAAAAGCGTACTAGTTCAAAAACGCGATATGAACAAAGTTAGCCATTCGTACACGGCACAATACGCGATTACCTTGTCGGGGGAATTAGTACCGCACGTGTCCCTGTGCTTGCAAGAACCCATAGGAAAGTTTGGGCCCAGAGTACAGAAAACTGTGGACGATTTAATGAAACAGTTTTCCCATGTGATTGTCACAAGCTTCAAATCTGGGAAGCTTACTACCCAGTTATACACGTCCTTCTTAAATAACGTAATGCTTCCTTATGTAGAAAAAGAAAAATTTGTATTAATTATAGATTCTTGCCGGGGTCAAACAAACCCTGCATTGTATGATGAAATTTTTAGCGATGACGTAGGTCTTCCTAGTTGTACAGTGAAAGTGATACCTCCCAAATGTACTCCAATTTGTCAACCTTGCGACGTTTATTTTTATAGGCAGGTGAAAAATTTTATCAAACGCTTGCAAACCTGTACATATTTAATTGAAAACAAACGCGAAATTAATTCATGTGAAGATGCCATAAAAATACATGTTCTACTTCATAATCAACTGTCTGCACCAATATTCAAGGATATGTTGTGTTACGCATGGTACGCAAGTTCATTGTGCGACGATAGAGACATTTTTTAAAATGTAAATGATGTTTGTTTTTCAATCAATATTCTAAACAAGCAGTGTGGATGCGGAAAAACGCCTTTCATAAGATGTCGCCGATGTCGTTGCACTTTATGTTTCCCCTGCTTGTATGATAAGTATCATTCTACGATTTGTAATCCCCAAGATGCATTTGACAATTAAAATACAATTATGTTTCGTTATTTATTATTTTTTTGTTATTCTTTGTTTTATAAATAAGAAAAATGTATGAAAATCAATGCATTTTGTCCTTTATTCGTCCACAATTATAAATATAATATTTGTTGTAATAAAAAATCATGCGAATGAATATATTTTCTCATTATATTTCCTTTAAATTGTTGTGTACGTGAAATAATACGATGATATATGTGGAAAAAAAGGGAAAAAGAAGAGAAAAAAAATACACACGAAAGGGACCCGATCCACCGATCTAGCCGTTACGACGCTAGGACGTTAACCACTAGACCGCCGCTGCTTCTTATTCACAACTCTAACGCAAGGTAATATAAAGTACGCACGAGCTTCTCTTGCGATTTTCTCGAAAACGCTTAAGTTGTACGCCTTATTATTTGCACGTTATATTGTCCTAATGGACTACTAAAAGTGTGCAAAGTTTGAAGGAAATCCGTGACCCATCACCCGTACGGACTCCTTGTCAGTAGATCTAGATGATTACGTACCGTTTCTTCGCCTTCCGGTTTGCAATTGGCTTCGAACAGATGTCGAGAAATAGCTGTTTGCTAAGCGTTTTGTTGTTGTTGTTGTTGTTGTTATTGTTGGTACTGTCGTAATCGGTGTAGAGGTCGGTGTAGAGGCTATCAGGTTCATATCGGGTAAACTGCTTAATCTTGATTTTTGTATATTTGGCGGTTTCCATGTTTGCGTACCTCTTTCTCAGACTGTGCCTTTTTGTCTACATTAGTCACTCTAATCGCAGGTGATTGGCGCACGAACCGCATCGTAGCTGTGGTAAAAAATGAAAGAAAAGGTATGTGTTGATGTTGGGGGTATTTATACTAGCGTGACTCAGACGTATCAGTCAGTGTGACAATGACTTTTGTACTGATCGATGGTGATACACTGTTTGATTTGATTACGGAGCAGCTGGAATACATACCAAAAATTGTACTCTTGAATCGTTTTGCTCGCGACATACATTACGTGTGGGATAAGCTACCGAGACATATCAGAGCCGATCCTGAGGTTCACTCTTATCGCAGGTGCTTCTTACATTACAATCGGCCGGATCAGCGTACGCACATTGACGGACCACCGCCCATGATCAAAGACCGTTTTCTATGCATTAAAGGAGGGGAGCAGGACTTGTAAATACTGTAATAAACAAATTACCGTTTGAGCTACACGTACCAGGGTATCGATTTTTTGGCCCGGGTACACGCCTGGACAAACGTTTAGCACGCGGGTAATTTTAGGTGATCGAGCACGCCAGCGCATAACTGCGAAGGACGCTACATTCGGCGAAAGGGCGACTGCTGCAGCTGTTTGGACTACGATGAAAGCTAAGACGAAGCTTGGAATGGGGCTCAAGAAGAAAAAGAGTCGTAGTAAGAAGAACAAGGGGAAGCGAACTTTACCGATAGCAAAGCGTGACGGTATCCTCCCGTTTCTCCTACCTGCGTTATCAGGTATAGGAGCGGTGGTGCTGCTGGCGTGGCTAAGGCCGTGAAAGACGCCAAGTCTGCGCGAAAACAGCTGGAGGAAATGCAACGACATAATCGTGCTATGGAAGGTCATGGACTTTATCTCGCACCGTACAAGCAGGGGGGAGGAGTTTCAAAGAGAAAAAAAAAACGTCAAAATTAAAATGCCGAAAGGCGTAACCACCAACGTACAACTACAGCAACTGGCAAAGCGTATGCGTATTCCATATTTCAGGGGTATTTTTATGCGCAATACTTTACCAACGGATGCGATACACAGGAACGAGAGCGGAATCGTAAATTTGGATACTTTCGAGGGACCTGGTACTCATTGGGTTGCGTACGCAAAACTCGCACCATATATTTCGATAGTTTTGGCAATCTTCAACCGCCGAGAGAACTGATACAGTATTTCAAGAATGGCGTAATCGAGTATAATCACATGCCTTATCAGCACTATAATCAAAGCAATTGCGGACAGCTATGTTTGCAGTTTCTGCAGACGGTTGACAATCAATTTAAGGGCAGTCATTGCACACTTTAACTCCAGTATTCGTTTGAACATGTCGCTGACGTTAACGCTCACCGGCCAAGGTAGCATTCTCGCAGTAAGCTATTTTCCGGCCATCGATCTGAGCGATGGTGATTACGAGCTCGGTCTTACGGACTTTGAGACTTATTACACGATACCGAATGTAAATTTGTCGAATAATAAATTTTACTACGATAACGATGACAAGGAAATCATTATTCCCGAAGGATCTTACGAGCTGGATGACATTCACATGTATTTGCGACGATCGCTTTCGCAGGTTAATGAGGGGAACCCCTTGATACTTAGAGCTAACAACAATACGATGAAGAGCGAAATCAAGTGCGATTACAGCATAAATTTTACCAAGCCCAATATTATTGGCTCGTTGCTGAGGTTTTCGACGAATCGGTTGCTGCAACCGCGAAAATGGCACGATTCGGATGCGCCAATCAATATAATGAACGTAAGTATTATTCGCATTGAATGCAACGTGACGGCTGCTGGTGCTTACAGCAATAACAAGAGCGTGCATACGATACACGAGTTTTCGCCTACCGTTCCACCTGGATATAAGATATCGGAAAGACCGACACAGATCATTTACCTTCCGATCACCGCACGAAGCATTTCGGATTTGACGATTCGCGTCGTGGATCAAGACAGTCAATCGTTAGATTTTCGAGGGGAGCAGATCACCGTTCGACTGCATGTACGGAGACAACGGCCGTAGTGGGAGATGCTTGTA